TTTTCCCCGGGGGGGGTTGTTTTTTTTTTTTTTTTTTTTTTGGTTTTTTTTTTTAAACCAAAAAAAAAAAAAAAAAAAAAAAAAACACCGGGTGGCCATTTAATTAAACCAACCAGCGAATCAAACCAAACACACACGCCAACTATATTATTATTTTTTTTCGGGTATCATTTATTTTCAACAACAACAGAGAAAATGACTATTTCTACCCTCAGTGATGCTGTACCCGGTAATATTTTTTGACGTTAACAGTTTTCTTTGATGTTTCGATTTCGGTTAATTGAGATAAATACCCCTGTGAATGAAACATCCATTGGTATTCCATACACCACCACTATTTCTACTTAACGATAAAAATTTTCAAATAAGAAATTCAATGATGAAAAATGGCGATTGAAAATAAAAAGGAAATTCTTTGATACTTTGTATCAAAGTTTTGCTGCTGCTGCTGCTGTTATTAAATTTTGATACAAAACAAAACGAAATATTCAATGAATGTCAAACATACCCAAACACTAACACCGAGTACATAAGAATTACGTAAGGAAAACACGACCTTTGCCACATTTTCTTAGGTTTGTTGTTTGCTGTGTTTTGTTTGTGTTTTTTAATGTTTTTTCATTATCATTTGTATGATGTGTTTATTATTATTACCTTTGATATCTTCATACATTCAAATGAATCGAAAATATATTGAAAACGAAAATCAAAAAATCAAATAAAAATATGATCATAAATTATTCACATCACCACCACCATTGATTATATAAACACGCAAACATTTTTGTGACAGGTAAAAAAAAGGTAACCTTTTTGACCTTTTTTTTCGAATCGAAAAGCGACAAAATTCTTTATTTTTTTTTTGGTCGGAATTCCAGGTGAATTTTCTTTTTTGCTGGTACCTGCTACCTGACCTTCTGTCACATATGTCACCACCACCACCACCCAATAAACAAAAAAATGCAATGAATAAACATATGTAAAACAATTCTGTTTGACTAAACTTTTGAAAAAATACGTGTGTTTACTTTTATACAGGCGGCTACTGTATCAAAAAAAAACCAAAAATATAAAATCAATAATAAATGAGAGAAAGTTTTTCGGAAAAGAAAGAAAGAAAGAATTTTTCTTTACCGATAAGATTCGTGAGAATTTTTCTCCATTCTTTTCTTTTCTCTGTTTTGAATATATAAAAAATCAATTTTCTTTGGATCAAAAATCATTTGATCCTCTCTGATTCTAAAGCCAACTTAATCATCATCAATGATTATTATTCAAGTAATTAAAGGATCATTATTATTATTATTGATTCCCGATTGATGGTGGATCATCGGATCAACAACAATAATGTTCATTTGATGTTTGATTTGTGTTTTTGTTGTTTGGTTGATCCACATGGATCTATGGATCTTGTTGGATTTTCATTTGCCGGTGGTATTATTCCATTAAATTTGAATTAGATTCGCTCCGTTTTGCTTTTTCGCTTTCGACTGATCTTATAATCACCTATACTTAAGACAGACAGACAGACGACTGGAATAAAAAAAGGATTTTTTGTCGGTCTGTTTGTGTGTAAATAGCGGTTTCTTTTCGGCTTTTTTGCGTTTCAAACCGCAACCGAGATAGAGAAATCGATTCCAAAAAAGGGAAAAAAAATGTTTAAAATACATCATCACCACCACTGACGACTATTTTGATCCACATGATCCAAAAGTAATAACCACTCATATTTTTGGAGTGTTAATGATATGTAAGATTTTGAAGAAGAAAATAAATCCCCATAATGAAAGGGGATTTAAAATCTTTGTATGTAATTTTCATCATCATGTGTCATCCATTTTAGTGGTGATCATCATTATTTTTGATGATAACTAAATCCCTTTTTTTGGATCAAAATGATGATGATTTTATTCAATGTTTTTGTTTCCTGGAAACTTTTTCAAGAAATTTTCCTTAAAAAATCTTTTCTGAAAAGTTTTTCTTTATTTGATTATAGCAATCATCAATTGATCTTTTATCAAATTTTTTTTATTACATTTTACGGATTCGATTTTTACCTCATTTTTATTATTATTATTATCGATAAAACCTGATCAATTTGATAAATTAATTGATTGATTGATTTTTTGCCAAATCAATTTGTTAACACTTTGTTATCATCATACACTTAAAAATCAGATTGATAAAGTGAAAAGGTGTCAAAATCACCTTTTTTTTGTTTGGTAGCAATCAAATCAAATCAAACAAAGAAAGAAATCCAATTTCAATTTCTTTACTTGCTTTACATTCAAAATCAATATTTGATTTATCAATTTTGACAAAAAAAATGGTATCTTTTTTTTTGATATTTCCAATCTAATTTTTCGAGAAAACAAAACTAAAAAACCAATATTTTAATCGATTTTTGTTGTTGCTGTTGTTTTGAGGAAAATGATCAGTAGCAAGTTACATTGTCAATTTTCTCTCCCGGATCATCATCATTTTTGTTGGTTGATTGATTGTTTGGCGCCATGTTTAATTTGCAAGTGTCAAAAAAAAGGTAAAGTGAGGATTAAAACGATGATGATGTTTAACACGATAATAATCTAAATTCTTTTGTTATGTTTTTCTGGCTAATCGATATCGTTTTTTGGCTCGTTTTTTCTTTTCTTAATCCTTAATAATATCATAATTAAGATACAATCATCATCATCATCTTGTTGTTGTTGTGCTACCTGTATTTACTGATTAAATACAGGTAGCCTAATTTTTTTTGGCTGTCAAAATTTGCTTTGAAATTAATTAAATTTTTGAATTTTTTGTTTCTCAGGTAAATGAAATTTCGAAAACAAAATTCTTACACAGGAAGAAAGTGAGAGCAATGAACCCCTTTTTTCTGGTTAACCCTAATGTCGCCATTGCTGATGATGACGGAAATATCTTTGATTTGATTTGATTTGATTGATTGATTGAATTATAACCCCTTGTTTCTTTTTGCAATTTTGCAAACGGCGGTGTTTCATTTGTTTTATTTGAATCATTTTCGGTTTATTAATTAATTAGAGAAAAAGAAAGTAAAAGGAAAAAAATTTTAATGGCGCCATAATGACGCCTTAGTTGCCTCACATCACATCAAAATTTAAATAATAATTTTGAATGATTTATGACGACTATTTTGACTAAATTTGGAAACAATTTTGTTTTCTTCTGTGTGTTTTGTCAAGTTAGGTTAATAATAGAATTATGAATTTTCAGGAAAAAAAATGGAAACCAAACAAGCAAAATAACCTACCCGTACTCTTGGTTCAGTTAATGATGTCCAATTGGCAATCTCTTCACGTGTTGCCATATCTGGATAACGATTACGTTGAAATGTTGATTCAAGCTCTTGTAATTGTTGTGATGTAAAATGTGTTCGTTGTCTTCGTGTTCGTTTTTTATTATTACTATTTCCATGATTTTTACCACCACTGACAACAACATTACTACCACCACCACCACTGATAATCGATGATAATTTATCATCCGAACCAGAACCATCATCAATATCATCATCATCGATATCATCATATTGATGATGATGATGTTGTGTATCCGGATGTTGTTGTTGTTGTTGACTAGTATCGGCTAAATTTTGTAATGGTTTTTCTATCATTGATGTTATTGTTGTTGTTGCTGTTGGTGATTTTGTTGTTGTTGTCGATGTTGTTGTTGTTGTTGTTGTTGAATGATTTGATGATGATGTTGAACTGGAATTTGATTCAGCTAGAAACGAAGGGGGAAAAACAAACAGAATGAAATTTGATATAAAGACTTTTTGCTTTTGGTTTCTGATTAAATTTGTCTCCGGAAAAAAGAATTTCTCCTAATTCAAAAAAAAACTACCGATTTTCAACAAAGGTCAAATTTGTAATTTTACAAAGAAAAAATTGTAAATTTTCTTTGTAAAACAAACATTTATTTTCCAAAAAACAAAATGACCTTTACCCTACTACGTTATCCTGTATCCTAGAAATGTTCATAAGTGTTAACTGTATTCAATGTCTTTGTGTAAATATTTTTCTTGCAAGAAAAAAGATGGATCAAATATCAAAATTTCAAAAAAATCAATTTACCACGTTTTGATTTCATAATAGGCAATTCCAATAATGTTGTACTGGAACAAATTTGCTGCTGCTGCTGCTGTTGCTGCTGTTGTTGTTGTTGATGATGATGATGATATAATGGTGATGTAAAATGTTGAAATAAATTCGTTGATGATGATCCATTTATTGATTGTTGTTGTTGGTGTTGGTGGTGATATTGTTGTTGTTGTTGTTGATGTTGATGAAGATAATTTGAATGATGATTTGATGATAATTGTTGTTGTTGTTGTTGAAGATTTTGTTGTTGTTGTTGTTGTAAATGAAGATGATGTGAATTTGAAGATTCATTATTTGGATGATAATGTTGAATTTGTTGTTGTTGTTGTTGATGTGAATGATGATGATGATAATCATTTGTATTGACCATAAATGATGATGAATTTGATTGATTTAAACCGGTTGAAGAATGATGTTGTACAGAAGCAGCAGCAGTAGCAGAATTACCTGTTCCGGTTGGATTTAAAAATGATGCGGCTGCTACAGCTGCTGTACGCATCGATTCATATGATAAATGATGAAATGGTGATGTTGCTGTATATGGTTGTATTGCTGCAGCAGCAGCTGCTGCTGCAATTGCTGTTGATTGTTGATGATGATGATGATTATGATGATTATGATGTGGATGTCCTGGATGTCCAGAATGATGATAAATTGAATTATTTATCGATGAATTATGATGATGATTTTGTGAATGTCCAGGATGATGATATGGTGATGTTAACATTGGATATGTATTTGATAATGATGTTGATTGTGGTAATGATGATATTGGTGATGTTGATGTTGTTGATGATAATGTTGATGATGTTTGATTAGCAGTGGTCACTATTGATGATGTTCCAAATGGAACACCTAATAAATTTGATGTTATTGTTGGTGGTGGTGGTAGTTTTGTTGATGATGCTGGTGATAATGATGATGATCCAACTGGACTTTGACTTGTTGTATCCGGTAATTGTTGTTGTTGTTGTTGCTGAATTGAATTTGAAAATGATATTGATGATGGTGATGGCGAATCTGATTGTTGTTGTTGTTGATGAATATTATGATGATGATGCGGTGAAGATATTTGTTGCTGTTGTTGTTGAAATTGATGCGTTTGATGATACGATTGCGGTGTCTGCGGTTGCGATTGCGGCTGTTGATAATGATGATGATGATTCGATGACATTAATACCGAATGTGGATGTTGTGAAACATATGAATTTGATATTGATGAAAACATTGTATGACCGGTATTGGTTGTTCCATGTGAATGTGGATAATGTGGATGCGAATGATGCGGATTTGTTGCCGCAACAAAATTCATACTAGCTGCTGCTGCTGATGATATTTTTGATAGGTCACTTAAATCCATCATTGTTGGTTCCATTGATGGTAATTGTTGTTCCATCATCATTTTTGATTGATCAATTTTTTTTTTTTGAAATTAAACACCGCAACAAATACACACAATATGTACACAAAACACTGAAAACACTGATCACAGATGAAATTAAAACAACGACAACAACAATTTTGGATTTTAGAATCGAAAAATATCATCAATTTGATGATTATTATGATGCAAAAAACACCTCACACACATCACCTATTGAATTCCAAATGCTAGTGTGTGTGTTTGGTTGATCAATGATATCTGAAACAAAAAACCTAAAAAAAAAGCACAAACATCCTATTTCTGTATTTAAAAAAAATTATCTGCGCAAAAATTGCGCATGCGTTGAAATAATCAATTTTTTTTCTGTTCTGTTTCTGTTTTCTATTGAAAAAGCTATTTGGAGGCGTGACCTTTGAGTGAATGAGAGAGAAAAATTCATATAATCCAATGAGTAGTTATTGGAATTTTGTTGTCGAAAAAAGGTGTGGCCAATTTTCAGTAACTGGCCAATCAAAAGAATCGTGAATGAATGAATTTCGCCAAACTGAATTACCCGAACAGAGAGAGGAATGGGGGAGGGAGAATGGGGGAAAACAAATAGAAACATTCCAAGAATTACTGAATTTGAAATCGATTATTTCATTGGAAACTGTAGAAACATTAGATTCCAATAGAATTTTCTTTCTATTATAACTAAATTCTTTACAATCAAATTTACTTTTGTTTGTTTGTTGTTGTTGTTGTTTGGTCAAAGATTTTTTTTAGTCTTTGATACAAATATAGTCAACAAAGTCCATTGGTCAATTTGAAGGAGAAAACAAAATCAGAGAAAGTTTCTTGAAAGAATCCAGGGAAAAAAACCGGAAAAATTCCGGAATTCAATTTGAAACAAAATTTGATCGAAGTAAAAATTTTCCCAAAATATTCGCAATTCACTTGTTTTCCGTTCAAAAAGTTTCATTTCAACAAAATGCATCCACATTTGGATAGTTCATGTTGGTGTCCATCATTTTGTCCATGATGTTTTCCCTTCCCTCCATTTTCTATCGGTCACTGTTCACAAGACATATTGACATTGGCAAATGGCCAGTAGTGGGTAATATTCTAATCCACTTTAATCCCATTTTTTTTCTGTTTCATTTTCTGTTCACTGATCCTGTTGTTTGGCTACTGGACTTTTTTTTTGATTTTGATTTTGGAAAATTTTTTTTTTCAAAAAAAAAAGTCTAAAGATTTTTTTTTCGACTTCCATGTCACACTGTCATCATTCAAATCAATCAATCAATCAAATGAAGAAAAATTCACAACAACCGTAACATTCATATATATCGTACACAATATTCTCTATTTCCATTTCCGATCATTTTTTCCAAGAAAAAGAGAAATTCAAATCCAATATTGACAAAACAAAGCAGAAACGTTATTCTTTGTTTGAAAAGAAAAGAAAAGAATGAAAATTCTTACCAGAATTGTCAGAATTGGAATAACGAAAGAGAAAAACATGGAATGAAAGAAAGAAAACAAAAAGAAAGATTTTTGTGAACCAAAATAAGAAAAATTGTTAGTCAAAATGAAAAACAAAAAACGAAAAGAAATGAAAATGGAAATGGAAAGAAATGGAATCAATCCTGACAAATGTGTCAAAATCTCTTTTTCATTTTCACTTTTCTTCTCTGTAGGGTAACATCCATTTTTTGTTTTTGCCTGGCTGGCTGGCTTGGTTTTTGTTCAAGTTGTGCAGCATCAAATTCTTCGATAGAATGCCATTCCAAAGAATGGCAGCCTGACTAACTTAACACACCAGCAACCAACCAAACAAAACAAAAACGAAATTCAACGATCCAAAATGATGGCAATGATGACGAAGACGAACCAAAAACAAAAAAAAATGAAACAAAAACGAAAACGAAACGAAAAATAAATAAAAAAACTACGAAGAAGGATTAACTAGGATTAGTTGGTAGCGAACAGCGATAGAATGATGATGATGATGATGAACGAAAATAAAAACAGAAAAAAAACAACGACGATGATGATCATCGTCATCATCATGATGATCGTAGAATCGTTCTTTGTAGATTGTAGAAATAGGAATGGGAGGTTCCTATCATTCTGGAGATTCTGGAATGCTATTTCAACCATTTTTTTTTTGGATCGGATGATGCGCGCGCTATTCGAAATAGAAAAAAATGTGAAACACATTTGTCGTCGTCGTCGTTGGTGTTTAGTTTCAGTTTTATTTCCTTCCACACGATTCATACATTTTTCTGCTGATTCTGCTGATTATTTCTTCTTTTTTTTTTGCTTGTTTGTTTGGAATTTCTTCTTATTCATTTCCAGAATTGAATTTCCAATAGAAATAGAGATAAAGAGACAGAGAGTAGATTGTTGTTGTGGATGGATGGAAAAGAAAATTGCCAGAAAAACAAAAACTGAATGATAATGGAGAAAATTCTTTTCCTTTGAAAATGAAACTATATTCTCTGCAATGACTATCTTTCTGTTTCGTTTGTACAGAAGTGCAAATCAAACAGAAACCAATTTCTGGTATTATCATCATTTGTATATATAGAGAGAGAAATTGGAAATTTCCCAATTCTCATTTCAACAATTTTGTCGTTTTTCGATTCTGGTCTCCTTTTTCGTTCTGTTTTTTTTTTTTGAGTTTTATAGATTCACATCTTAACCAAAAAAATTTTGCTCATTCTGGGTTAACAACAACAGCAGAATATATCTGTACGATCTGTGCGCATGATTTAGGAATTCCAGAGAAAAAAATTCTGTGGAAAATAATCGATTGTTTCATTTCGATTAATCGATTAATTATAATCGATTGTATCGTGTACACAAACATCCTGGGTAATTTGTCCAAAATTTGATTTTTTTTCTTATTTAGAGAAAAAATCCCTCCTTCCCCCCGACCCCCACGGAAATCACTCAGGATTTTTTTCGTTTTTCACCCGAAAAACACACACACACAAATCCAGATTAAATCAGAAAAAATTGATCCCATTTAAGTTGATCTTTTCTCCAACTTCACTCTCTTCACTGCTTTCAAAATTCAAAAATTTTTCAAATTGAATTGAAAACAAAACAAAAAAAATTTGATTTTTACCAAATCCAAGAAAAACCCCAGATGATTGAAAATGGTTTTTCTTCAAGTTCAATGTCGATGTTCAGTTTTTTTTTGTTGAACAAATTTCTTCACAGACTTAACACCAGTTAAAAAAAGGCAGAAGAAGGATTTTATCCATGGATTAATTTTTTTGTTTGTAGAGAAACGTGGGTGGATGATGATTGAGGGATCAATGTTTTTCTTTCTCTCTCTCTCTCTTTCTCTCTCTCTCCCCTTCAATGAAACGTGCCACAAGTCATCATCAACATGATTGGAAAATTGATTTTCAGACCTTGAAATGTCCAAATTTCACCCCCCACCACCACCACCACCAACCCCGCTTACCATGGACAACTTAATTCCATCATCATCATAATCAGGTGTTACTTGAAACATTTATTGGAAAATCCATTGATCCCTTGGATTTTTTCTTTCTCTTCTTTCCTTCGTAGAGTTTTGAATTTTCGGTACATAAAATATACCCGACAAAATATATCCGGTCATCAACATCATTATTAAATAATAACCGGAATGCCGGTATTTCTTCAATGAAAAAAATTATGGCCAAAATGATGATGATGATGATGAGATTAACAATTTTGGAAAAATATTTAACCCCTCACCCCCACACACGTATTATTCATCATAATGTGATTCATTTCGGATTTTCAGTCATTCCAAAGTCATCAAACGTTTATGTCACGTGTCTCCATTACATTGCAAAAAAATGTGACAAGTTTGTTTTTTTTCCATCGTCGTTGTTTCCATCAAATCTCTGGATACATCTCTATGATGGTGATCCAAACAAAAAAATCCTACTAATCAGAATCATGAAATTATTATTACGCAAATGGCAAAAAACGAATTACGCGCGTGTGCACACGCGCTATTCGAATTGTAATTAGAATTTTTTTTTCTATTTTATTTTTTGTTCGGTAATCGAATGCTAATTGACGCGTAATAAGTGTTTAGTGGCTGGCTGAGCTAAGCTAAGCTGGCTGACGGACTGGTGTGCGTTTAGCATTAATTTCTCGGATTTTTAATCGGATATCAGAATCGGGTATGAATGTTTTTCGTTTGATCGGTTATTGTTGTCCATTTTGTTTCGGTTATTTTTTTTGGTTGAATTACGTTTTTTACGATTTGAGTTTGATTTGATTTGATCAAGCAAAAAAGTCAATTTTTTTCTGGTTGTTCATTTTGATTTTGTCCATTGATTCTGTATGATTCTGGTTGTCGAAACAAATAAAAAAAAATTAACTTAACCTTTCAATTCATTCAACCATTGGCAAAAATGGAAAAATAAATAAATAATGATTCTGGGTCAGAATCAGGATGGGAAAGATCTCAATTACATCCAATATTCATCCAATTGGAAATATTCTATGTGTGTTTGCCCACACACATACAGAGAATATTCCCAGAATAAACAGTAAACATTTTATTGCACGCCCATCAATGATTTTGTTTCAATGATAAAATTTGTAATTTGATGATGTTTATCATGCGTAAATGATATGAATTTTATTTGTTTTGTTTTGATTGTTATTGGTGATCGATTAAATGGAAAGAATATTTTCGGAAAAATTATTTTCCAAAAAAAACTTTCTTTTCGGGAAAATTTCTCTCGAATTTTTTCTTCAATCAGAATAATCATCATTTGAATGGCAGTGGTGGATTTCTGATTATAAAATCTGATTTTGTTTTTTCAAAAAAAAAATGTTTCCAAAAACAAATGTTTAAAACATCATCATCAGTATAGAATCCCTTGATGCTTTTGGGATTCCTATTTTTTTCCTATTCTGTTTGTGTGTGTGTGTTTTTCATGAAAATGTCATTGACTATCACTGCTGCTGCTACTGGAAATATAAAAATCCCGAACAGAAAACTGTCATTTTATTTTATTTTTTTTTTTTGAAATGAACAAATGAAAACTGCCACCGAATTTTTCGTATGTTTGGTGTTTGTTGTTGTCACCAATTTTTTTGTTTTGTTTCGAGAGAAAATTCCCAATGGAAATATACCGAACCGACCGACCGATATGAAATGTAAATTTCGGAAAGATTTCTTCATGTATTGTCATTTTGTTGCGAATTCAATCAAAATTTCCCGAAAATTTTCTTCTTTTTTTTTGTTCAGATTGAATAATAATAATAATTCTTTAACGATTAAAAAAACAACGATCGAGGTTAACCATCCATCCATCTAACTACTGCAACAACAAAAAACTCATATTTTAGATCATTACAGTGTAATCGATGTGTTTTATTGGATGTTTTTTAGCGAAAAAAATGATGATCATCATATTCAATCTCTCTCAATATGTGATGGTCCCTATGGTTCGATTTTCAGTATTCTGTGTGTTTATTAATGCGCAAAAAAGAATAATCATTTTTATTATCGAAGAGGGGGCCAGCAGAGAAGAACGAGAATATTCTTTTTCCATTTCAGATGGGCAATATGTTTTTTTTTCTACAAAACATAATGGATGGATCGTAATCGTCACTGTCCAAAATACTAATACTAATAATGATAATGGTAATAAGCATCATTATCATTTTCGTTTATCACATTAAGTTTCATTTCATTTTGGCGATGTGATGGGTAATAAAGAGAGAGAAGGGAGCGAAAAAAATTTACATTTGAATAGCCATTGAATGAATGATGCGCAGGACTTTGATTTTATAAAAATCGAAATGATCCATAATTTTATTTTTGGAACAAACACGTGTGTTTTTGGTGTGTGTGTGTGTGAGATGAATGAAATAACAGTATTTTACAATAACCAAAAACATTTTAGCCAAAGATGCAATATGCCAAAATAGTGTTGGTGAAAACAAAAATTATTCCGAAATTACATTGGAGAAAATCAAAATCAAAATCAGAATCGACCACCCGCTTTGTTTTTTCGGGAATATTTCTCAGTTGATTTTGTTTTTTTCGGGCCGAAAAACCAAACTTTGTATTTTTCATCATTTCATTAATTAACACACTGAGATTCTTTTTGAGGAGTGAGAATGAGAACAGATTTAATGAATTTTCGTTTTAATTAGATCAAAGAATATTCTGTTTTATTTTTCTGATGTTTCAAACAGCTATTTATTCTACATAAAATGAATCTAATTGAAATATTAATAGTATCTAAACAAACAAACATTTTATCATACAAGAATACGAGGTTACAAAAGGTTACGGTTAGATGATGATGATGATGGACAATGATGATCAAGGTGATGATGATGATGAACACAAACAAAGGAAATTGACAAGAAGTAATGGTGATGATGAATATGATTTGATGATTATCAAGACGTCAAGACATTGAACGATAAACTAATGAATGAAAAACATTTGAAAATCGATTGATTGATTGATTGATGATGATCAACGACGACGACGACGATAATAACCACCACCACCATGATGATGATGATGTCCATCATAATCATAATCATGATGATGATGATGATTAGTATTTTTACCCATTTGTTTCCATGCTTCAGCAGCTAAACGTAATGGTATCAAGACATGTAATAATCGTAGATCATGTTGTTGTGAACGTGCAATAGCTGCACCTAATGCAACACCAATCATCATACTTTTTTTACTACGGCCAGCATTTACCATTGAATTTTGATATTGTATCATTAATATGGCTACAACAATATAAACGATGAAGATTTTCTGTGAAAAAATTGAAAAAATGAAAATTGAAAATTTCAAAATTCAAAAATCAACAAAAATTTTCGAATAATCATTGTTCGATAAACACCACCACCATCTGGTGGCGATGAAATGAAATTCGAAAAAAAACATTCGAAACTTACTTTGGACATTTTTTGATTGAATTTTTCAAAAAACTTTGTTTGAAACTTTGAAAAAAATTAAATAATGAAAAACAAATGATGATAATTTGTTGACAATATTCAAAATACAAATCTTCCATGTCTTTTATACTGTTTTTTTTTCGTTGTCTTGGTCATCATCGTTGTTACCGGTATGAACATCTTTTTCTCTCTTTCTCCAGTGCTCTCAATTGTGGAGAAGAAAAAACAATCGAAAACATGCGGAAGAATATAATGATAATCGATTATAGATGATGATGGACGAAACTTAAAAAAAATGATATCGATATTAATATCGATAATAATTTACGTAAAAAAATCTTTTCGTTACGCTTTTACAATCGAAAACCGGAAAAAAGATCCAAAAATCATTCTACATTCATTCATTTTATGGTAAAGGTTACGATCAATTAAAAAGGGAACGTTATGGTAAAATATATCATCGTCAAAATATTTCCCATCATCATCATCATCATATGATTGATTGATGATAATGGCCTATCCGACAATCGAGATAGCCAATGACCTGAACCTGGTAAAACAGTTTTCGCTGGAACACAGAAAAAAATTAGATTAATTTTTTTCTGTTTTGTTTTTCCTCAACATTGATGATGATTTGGATAACCTTGATGATTCTTTGAAAGCAATAGATTTTTTTGCCGATCAAAGATTTTTAATTTTAAAGAAAATTTTCATTTCGGAAAAAAAATCGGAAATTTTTTTTTTCCATTCGAAATATTTTTTCCAAGCCAAAATCAACCAAACACAGGTTGCATGTGTCGAAATAGTTTTCCTGGCCCCCCCTTCATCAAAATAATGAAAAAAAGTGGAATATTTTTCATTCATTCTTCTCTCAATGGCTGTTGGCTGCTGCCTGTTTCATGTTTGTTTCTTGGCTTGAAAATTATCAAAACATTAACCAAAACCAACCACACGCAAAATAAGGGGTATTCGTGTCTTGCTTGTTTTTTTTCCTCCTCTGTTTTGATTGTTTGGTTGTCTGCAAATTTTTGATTTAATTAAAATTTAATTTGATTTTTGGTTGATAATCGATATTTTTTTGCCTTGCTCAATTCAATCGGCTATAAATGGATCATCATCATCAGTGAATGCGAATTTCGAAATTACAAATCATCATTTTTGAAATTACAGAAAATTTTCACTTTTTTTAAATAAAAATCACTGCAGTATGCAAACAATGGCAATGGCTGCTAAAATTGGTGGTGTTTCATCATCGTCCACACCATCAACAACATCGAAAACGAAATCAAAACAAAATGGATCGACATCGTCATCGATACGATTATCGATTGATTTAGATTTATCTTCGGATACAAAACATTATTATCCACATTTTTCATTAAAAAATTTAATTACCGATCAACAACAACAACAGCAGAATAAACAGAAAGTGAAAAGTAAAGAAAAACAATCATCAGCAACCAATGATCCAAGACGTCCACCTAAATTGGTATGTTGTTTTTTTGGTTTTTCCTCGTCCAAAAGATTCATTAATCATTTCATTTAACACTTTTTTGATTAGTTTGATGAAGAAGATTCGGATGAAGAAGTAGCAAGAATTGCAGCAAGATTTGAACAAAAATATGGTTATGATGTTGATGGTTATATTGATAAAGGTGATGGTTATGATGAAAATGATTCATTTGTTGATAATTCAGAAGCATATGATGAATTAATACCACATAATATAACAACATTATATGGTGGTTTTTATATTAATTGTGGTGAATTGGAATTCAAACCAATCGATGATGATAATAATCAAAATAATCAAAATCAAAATGATATTGATGATGAATTTGAAAAGGCAAATCTTTTACAAAAATTAAAAAGAAAATCAACAAAACTTGATGATAATGATGATGATGATATGGTGGTGGTGGATTTGGAAAATGTTAATCAAAATCGTAATCGAAAACAAACCAAACAGGTAAAATTATCATCAGCAACGTCTTCACCATCACAATCAACATCGATTTTACCTGCAAAATCATCAAAAGAATCAACAACAACTACGACAACAACATCGAATGTTATGTCGAAAAAATCGAATCAAATAACAACTACAAATCATAATGATATTATTGGTCATATTGTTGAAACATCATTGCTTCTACAGCAACAACAACAACAACAAAAATCATCTAGTGGTGGTAAAAAAGTTTCATCATCATCATCTACAGGTGATGGTTCGAAAATTACGCAAAAAGATTCATCTTCGAAATCGATTAATTCTCAATCATCAACGTCATCTAAAAAGAATACAACAACTATCGATGGATCGGATGGTCAAACAACAACAACAAAGGTATCCTTTTATTACCCAAAAAAGAAAAGAAAAACTAACCAATTTTGTTTGTTTCTCAATCAATTTAGCCACGAAAATCGAGCAATAAAAATTCCGTATTGGATCAATCTTTTATTAAACAACAACAACAGCAACAACAACAACAACAAGTTGCATCATTAGTTGCACAGAATATTTTCAGTACAAAAATGCATCAAATGATAACGGATAGTTTATTGGGACAACAATCTACATCATCATCCTCAGCGACGACGGCAAAGAATTCTTCGCCATCATCATCATTGATACAGAATATAACTATTCTTCGTGCTAGTTTATTAAGTTTAAAAACACCATATGATATTGTTTCAAGTATACCAATATCAAGACCAATGAATAAAAAAGGAATCATAACAAATGAATGGAATCGTTTTCTTATCGAGTAAGTTTTTGATTTTTGATTGTTTTGACTTTTGATTTTTAATTTTTTGTTTCCCTTCATTTTTCCCAAACAGTGTTTATCATAAAACATCAACATCAATGAAAAATCGTTCAAATATTTATGAATGTTTAGGAAAATATTTTGGTGATGGTATTAATGGTGATCAATTATGTAGATATTCGGAACGTTTATGTTTAGAAAGTTCAATGTTACCACCAATGTTATCGTCAACACAACAGCAGCAGCATCCGTCTTCATCAACAACAACACAAAAATCAAAATCAAAAGCATCTCAACAGCAACAATCATCGATGAAACAATCAACAAATGAACAGGCGATTAATCTTAGTACATCGAATAATAATAGTCAACAATCATCAACATTTAATGAAGGATTAGCCGGTAAATTAATGGTTACTGGTAATGATAATTCATCGAATCGATCGACAACAAATATTTCGAATAATAACAGTGGTGGTAGCAATAAATCATCAAACCCATTATCGGTAATGTTTTCAATGTTTGATTGGTTTTTAATTTTCTAATTTCTTTTTTAACCCTTTGTGATATAGCTTGGAAAAATCAAACAACAACAATCGTCCAGTATTCATGATCAATATTCTATGTCAAATCATCATCATCATCATCATCATGGTTTAGCTATGCTACAATCATTAGCAAATTTAGCATCAAATGCTCCAACTACCTCATCATCATCATCATTATCACCATCACCATCGTCAATGCTTCTTGGTGGTGGTTCTTTATCATCAAATACGAATAAATCATCGATACGAACATCGATGCCACCACCACAGATACCATCATCATCAAGTTTACTTTCCATATCTAATTCTAATAATCAACAACAACAGCAACGTTCATCAACTACACCGACAACAATGATGCCTCGCAGTACAAATATACCGAATCCAAATTCATTATTAGCTGCATTTGGTGTGACAACAAATTCTTCTGGATCACAATCGTCATCGAATACGACATCATTAACATCCAAACAACAATCATCACCATCAACAACATCTATATCATCATCATCATCATCATCAACATGTACATCGAATATTAATTCAACAACAACAACACCAATACGTAATGATATTCTATCAAGTTTTTTTCAAATACCCGATATGTTTACTAATGCCAAATTAATAAGCCATTTTTTAAATAATTCTCCACAATCATCATCATCATCACCACCAAATAATCGATTATCACCATCATCATCATCTTCGATGATTAAAAATTCATCATTATTATTGAATAATCAAACACCAACATCATCCGCAGCAGCAGCAGCTATAAAAACATCATCACCATCATCTTCGTTTTCGGCATCATCATTGATAGCAAAATCATCACCGCCACCAACACAATTATCATCATCAGCAGCAGCAGCCGATATTTATGGTCAATCACCAACATCACAACAAATATTTTTAAATCATTCGATTGGAAATTTTAGTAAAAATTCTTCGCCACAACAACAGCAACAACAACAACAAAATTCACCATCATCATCATTGAATAGCTATAAATAGCTATGAGTGGTTTTCTGATCCAGAAAAAAATGACAGAATTTTGAATCTTAAGATTCTAAAATCTTAAAAAACCTTTTCATCGAAGAAATTTGAATGTTGTAAATACACCTCTATAAATATAATGATAATCGTTTTTTTCCCCGTTTCCAATTATAACAAATTCCTATATTTTTTTCCAAAGAAAGATGAAATGTCACGATTTTTTTTGTGTGTAAAAAATGAATCAGATCTTCCTGTGTTTTTTTTTTGCTATGAACTTTGAATCAAACAAAAAATGTAAACTTTTTCCCCCTTTTTTTACCATTTTGAAATTTGTAAAGTGAAAAAATATTTGAATAAAATTTCAAAAAGTTTTCTTTTTAAACTTTGCTCACCACACAAACATACACGACTTTTCTCACATTCGATTGTTGATCATCTTTATAAAGACTTTTGGTTTTTCGTTTTGAATGTTTTTTTTTGTTCGCGTTCGTTCAACCAAAATTTATCTAAAAAAATGATTAATATCAAGATAATAATGTTATTGGTGTTTTTATCATCAATAATTGATGCATTACCATTGATAAAAAATCGTCGTGAAATATTTCTACCTGATCAATATGATACATGGGGTGATTATTGTCGTATGCGTGATCCATTTCATCCAAAATGTCGTGGTATTTCTGTACAACGATTAATTGATTTATCATTAGAACAAATGGATCCCGAACGACGTGAACAATATCGTGAATTTCTTATCAGCTATATTTTGAATAAAAATCCAAATTTAATAAAAAAATTATTAAAAAATAATGATATTATTCATCGAATGTTGGTGATGAACGAAAATATCGAACAAAATGAATCGATTGTATCGTCAACATCAACGAATAGTCCCGATACATTCGATTTATCGAATGTTTATGATCGTATCCGGAATAATCATAATGAGCAAAGCATAATTTTTGATTAATTTTTCTCCAAATTTTTGATTTATTTATTTTCATCTATTTCTATACTGATATAAAACGAGAGAGAGCGAAAAAATTGACAAATTATCATCGATAAATCGATGATAATAATTTTTTCCTCTAAAAAAATGTTTTTGATTCATTTTTTTTCATTAATTATGTAAGGATGTTTGAGATTCGATTACCTGTTGCTCAATCAAATCATCCAAAAATTTTCCATTTCCATTTCTTTCTATTTAAATTTTGATTTTCGATTGTTAATATAATTAATTCAATCTAATCAATTTTCGGGTTACCATTGGATGTTAATTTGATAATTGAATGAAACCGCCTGCTTTAATCTTATCTTTGATTCGATGATTTACAACTCAATCAACCATCCAACCAACCAACAATCAAATCAATGTTGTAATATTGCGTATATTGAACCTATTTTATTATTGTAATCATCATCATCATTTGTTATATAAATAAAAAGTTTTTTCAATCAAAAAAAAAATTACCCAAAAACATCAAACATTTGTCGTTTTCATCATCTGAAAAAAAAATTTTTTCTCATAAGAAACAATTTCTATGACTTATAGTTGAGTGAGGTTAGGTTGATGACCATGACTATGACTATAACTGTGATTCATAGTTGAGTGAGGTTAGGTTGATCATGATTTTCTACTGTCGCTGTTATTGTTGTGTTATTAATGCCATCTAGTCATCATTGAAAGAAATAATGAATCCTTTTTTCTGGTCACCTTTTGTGTTTATTGTTTGTATTGTCTGACCATGAAATTCCATAACGTTTTTTTGTTTTGTTTTGTTTTCAATTGTGAAATATTTTTTCGGTGATCAAGATTCTACATTCAAAAAACATCAATGTCCACTATATCACCAAAAATAAGCATCTTTTTTTCTTCTCTGATTTCATGCTTGATCGAATCGTATAATACTCATTATTAGGTGGGCGCCAAAAGCAACAATTGTCTTTCTCACTCTCAATTTTTTCACTTCGAAAAAACATTTCGAAATTCAAAATTATTGATGCCTTCTACGAAAGAAAAGAATGATGATTGCTAATTTTTCTATGTGAATTTTTCATTGCCTAAAATCAAATAATACCTCATTAAATCATCATTTTTCTGCCTTATCATCATTGTGTGATTGTTGAAAACTAGTGTTTTTTGTTTTTTGATTGATTAATGTGATGATTTTATATTGATTGATTGATCGATTTCGAAAAAAACTGCCGCACAATTTTTCTTTGATATTAATATGGATCCATTATCAGAAATTACAGAAAAATCACCGAATCAAATCAATATGGATGATAATAATGATGTGGATGATGATGATGATAATGAAATTCCATCACCATTACCCATCAGTAATATTGAAAATCAACAACAAAATCAATCAACAACTAATCTATCACGTACTGTATCGATATCGAATCTATCACGTGTTAGTTCACGTATTGATAAAACATTTCGGCAAATGGCATCACGTATACAGGTAGCAAATAAATTATCAATGGCTAAACGTAAAGAAGAAAATTTAGCTATTAATTCTGGTACATTATTGGAAGAATCAAATTTACGATCAAAATCAATAAAAAAGATTGTCAAACAATTATCACCGATGAAATCAACAAATCGACAATATTATCAAGATCAAGATGGTGGTGAAATTGTTAAAGAAGGTATTATTAGTGGTGGTAATCTTATATTCGATATTGATTATCCATTAGCATCGGATTCAATGAAAACAATATCCCGGCCATATATTTATTTAACATCTGATGTTGAAATGAAAAATATTACCAATGTTATGTTTAATGAATGGCATTTATCAATACCACGTATTGCATTATTTTTACTTTCGGATCCGGATCATTTTCGTACATGGAATAATTCTAGACAAATGTCTTCATTTCGTACTGGTGTTATGAAAGTATGTTTTATTTTTGTTTTGTTTGTTTATTTTTCATTTAATTAATTCGTTTTTTGCTTTTCAGGCAGCTAAAACAACAAGTATGTGGCTAGTTACAAATGGTCTTGATATTGGTGTTGGTAAACTAATTGGTGATGCATTGATTGAAGAACAAAATGAATTTCGTACAACAACATTTGAAAAATCATCCAAAAAACATTTCCCTGTAATCGGTATAACAAATAAATTTAATCTTAGCTATACACAAGAATTTTTCGGTCCAAATATACAGCTAAGTAAACCGGGACCGATACCAAATCAACGTCGTTATGAATTAAATCCAATGCATACAAATTTTTTAATTTTACAAAGTTCAAATTCGGATGATTGTTATCATAATCTTATGATTAATTTTATCGATCATTTAACCAAAAGAACTGTATTGTCAACAGAACAATTCTATAATGATGATGATGATAATGATAATGATCCACGAAATTCAAATAATTTACCATTATATCGTTCACAATATATACCATCATCATCTGGTGATCATCATCAACGACAATTCAGAATTCGTCGACGAAAAGTTTATTCATCATCAACAAAAACATCGTCTAGAAAACCATCAGAACAGGCAACCAATTTAGATATAATTGTTCGTCCATCATATGGACAGAAAACCAATTGTTTTGGTATTGATCAGGATACTGTTGATGCCGAATCCGATGATAGTGTTGATAGTGATGGAAGATTTGATGAAGATCAACATTCATTTATTAGTCCAGAAGGTACAGTAATTTATGAAGATGATGTAAGCGGTGCTCGACCAATGTCACCAATGTTAGAAAATGATTCCATTTCTAAACTGACAAAAGATGCTAATGAAAAAATGATACCAGTAGTATGTTTAGTTATACAAGGTGATTATCAATGTGCAAAATTAGTATTGGATAATATACGACGACATAATCCGATTATTGTACTTCGTGGTTCGGGTGGTTTTGCTGATCTTCTTTCGTATGCCTATATTGAAATGCAACATCGTTGTCGTGATCTTTATCATGCATGGGATGCAGAATTTGTTGAACAAACATTAAAACCATTATTGGTACAAAAAATCGTTCAACAATTTCCTGAATTTCGTAATAATGCAATGGCAAGAAATACATTTCGTGATCGAATTATTGAATGTGTTCGTGAATCAGGATCACCACGTGGACGTGTATTTTTATCCATATTGAATATGCACAATTCTAGCTGTGATTTAACAAATCTTTCTGAATTTATATTATTATCATTATTTAAATCACAAAATCGTCGTGATAAATTAGATTCAAGTTTAATACGAAAAGATCTTTATCTAACATTAGATTGGAATTGTCCATTAGTTGCTTTGGATGAAGTATTATCACGTAATCCATCATATAATCTTCAATTGGAAAAATCAATATTTGAATTAGCTGTATTGAAATCAAATCGTGAAGATTTTGTTGATCTTTTCCTAACACATGGTTTTAAAATACATAAATATTTAACACCATTTCGTTTGATACGTTTAATACGATATAGTTTATTGGAATCGGATTTTTTTCGTACTGTTTGTATGGAAGCAATTTTGGGTGTACCAGTATGGTCAGATAATTTTGAAGAATTATTAGAACGATTAGCATCACCAAGTCATTCGAATATTGATCCGGAAAAATTTATATCAAATGAATTTAATCATTTAATATTTACAACAACATCATTACATGATTTTGTTAGTCCACAAGATATGTGTTTAAATATTATGGGAATGTATCAAGTTGATGCCGGTTCATCTGAACGTAAAGCATTAGCTACATTAGCTATGTGGGCTGTTTTTAATCGTCGATTTAAATTAGCTGAAATTCTTTGGAAACATTCTGATCAACCAATTCATCTGGGATTAATATTATCAATGATATTGGATAGAATGGCATGGTTTATACCTGAACAAAATGTTAAAGATGATCTACAAGATCAATCAAAAATTTTTGCAAAATTTGCTATCGATGTATTGGATGCTTGTTATCGTAATGATGAACAACGTGGTTATGATTTATTGGATCAAAAAAATTCGGATTGGGATCAACAAACTGCTGTTGATATAGCAGCAAATGGTAGTCATCGTGCATTTATTGCACATCCTTGTTGTCAAAAATGGCTTACAAATACATTTAATGGAAGAATTCGTGTACGAGAATTAAGCTGGGGTTTTTTAACAATACCACCGGTTATTAAAATTATTTTATCAGCATTTTTTATATTACCAATGTATATTTGGATCAGATTTTTAGATATTAATCATAAATGGACTGAACATAAAACAAAATTATTAGAAGAATTAAATCAAGATGGTGATAATTCAAATGATAGTAATGATGATGATGATGAATTTTTAGTTAAAGCTGCTGATGAATTAAAATTAATACCATTAGATTCAAATCATAAAGCAATACGAAATATAAATGAAAATGGAAAAAAATCCAGTTTAATTGAACAATTATTTGATAATCAATTAACAATATCATCATTAGATGAAGAAGTACGTGTAGCATTAACTCGAATGAATCGTAAAAGAAAAAAATTACGTAATGAACAGGATGGTAATAAGAATAAGAATAAATCATCATATGATCGTGAACGAAATAATTTATTTATTGATAAACAACCACCATTATTTAAAATGATTTATTTATTATGGAATTCACCCATAACAAAATTTTGGACATATCATATTTTTTATATTATCTATCTTGGTATGAATTTCATCAGGAAATATTCTCATGTTTGATTTTTAATTCTGATGTTTTCTTTTAAATTATAGCACTTTTAAGTTTAGCATTAATATGGCCTGGTTGTGGTGAATGGCGTTTAGATCTTACTGTTTGCATATGGACATGTAAGTATTGATTTGATTTGATTTGATTGATTCACCTGAAATAATTTGATTTTTTTCACAGTTTTAAACATAATTGAACATATACGCCGTGTTTATATACTTTATCGTCGTTATACATCGGTACCAATGTTTTTTCGTATACTTGAATCAATATTGTTGATAATTTTCTGGTTAACATATACATGGGGACGTGTGCTTATTGTTTATTCATATTCAATACATGGACATCGTTTTTCACGTTATATTATCGATCCATATGGAATGAAAGTTATACTTAGTGCTGGTTTACTTTATTTTTATTATCGTCTATTTTATATCTATCTGCCTATTTCACCTACACTTGGTCCATTATTATATCGTTTTAAATTAATGGTATCAGTGGATTTTATTCATTTTATGCGTATGGCATTAATTTTATTGATTAGTTCGGGTATTATAATACAGGCATTATTATATCCAAATACTGAACTTAGTCGGGAAATGTTTCATAAAGCATTTCATCGTTCGATTGTTTCATTATTTACAACACCTGTTGATGAATTAACACGTAATTGTACGATTAAACAACAACCACTACCATCACCGACAGTCATACCAAAAACGGATAATAATAATAATAATAATGATCCATTTACATCGATGGCTAATCTAACATCAATTTTTTTCCAAAGTGTTATACTTGGAACCGAACCATTGATCGAACCGATAAATCGTGAAGAATTATGTCCAGTAAAACCGATACCAATGTCACATTCATGTCCAGTATCCGGATTTTGGTCATATGCATTTACATTTCAATTTTTAATCTGTTTAAAATTGATACTAATGACATTGCTATATGCATTGTTTGCATCGACAGCAACTAAATTACAAACTGAAACAGATAATATTTGGAAATATCAACGTTATATTTTAGTTATTGATTTTGCTAATCGTCCTGCATTACATGCACCATTAAGTATATTTAAATTTGGTTATGTTTTATTGAAATTTTGGATGAAAATATTAACATTTCCATGTCGATGTTGTCGTGATCGATTGAAAAAAAATCGTATCGGTGATACAATGGATTCATCGTCATCACCAACAGCAACAAGAGGAGGAGGAGATGGTGTATTTCTTGTTCAAGATGATAATAATAATGGTGATGATAATTATAAACAACGATTATCAAAAGAAGATTATAATTATTGGCGTCATTTAGCTAAAACAATTTATGATGAAAGACAACGTAAAGAAGATGAAAAAGATATTATGGGTAGACAAAATGAAACTATACAATTAATTTGTGAAGAATTAGAACATGAAAAAACAATTTTACGTACGATTAAAACCAAAATGAATGAATTTGAACGAATGATGTATCAGACACAAATCTATTTGGAAACAATCAAACATATTGATAATACAACAAACAATGTTGGCAATAGTATTATTGGTGGTGATTATTGTCCAACAACAACAACATTAATACGACAGAAAAAACAAACAATGCAAATGATTCATCATCGATCAACAGCAATAGATTTGAATCAATCACAATTATTACAAACAATCGGTATACATTATTTGGCAAGATTATCACCATATGCTGGTACACGTATACAACGATTTCCTGTTGCCGATAAATTTGTTTCCTGGGATATAATATGGATTAATTATGATCCGGTTATTTATTCAAGAAAACGTGAAAATTTCCCCACAACATTAAAACAATGGGTTGATGAAGATTTATTAGCATTAAAAGAACGTTTAAAAACAATTGTAAAACGTAATAGTAATTCTACAATTACATCACATTTACCCGTATTTAATTGGAATGCTGTTTCGGTTAATCCGGCCGGATTTACTATTGATCGTCGTTCATGGATTAAAGATGATTTAGGACAATGGGATTTATTGGATTGTAATCTATCGCCGAAAATTATTTCCAATGAAATGGATAATAATTTTATTATCTATAAATTGGATGAAGATTCAATACCGATGAATATTTGTGGCCGTACTGGATTACGTGGTAAAGGAAATCTACCACGTTGGGGACCTAATCATTATGTAATGTTATTAATATCAAGAACAAGACTTATTGGTGGTATACAGATAAATGAATTTGCTTTAGAAAGAAAATATAGTTCATTATTTGTACCAATGAGATTTATTGGTGATGATATTATGTTTGGTGATTTACGACAATTATTTCGTATATTTGATAAAAATTCTGGCCATAATAAATGGATAAATGATAATGATATATTGGAATATTTCAGATCGATTGATCCACAATTACAATCAATTATACCAACACAAGCATATTATATGGATAGTCCGGATAATACTGATAATGGTTGGAAAGAAGTTAAAGTTTATCATTTTCATTTTAATGATAAAATTGATTGGAAATTGACCGATGCAATGATTATGAATCAAGATGATGATAATTCGAATAATGATTATCGAACAACAAAATCCCATTTATCATGGATAACATATAATGAAGATATGTTAGTACAGATGCCAATGGAACAGGTACAATTTATCGATATGGCTATTCGAATGATTAATAATAATTGGAAAACATAATAGTTTATTTTTTTGTAAAAAAATGATTTTCTTTAATAAAAAGCTTTGATATATCCAATATATTCTGTTCATTCATTTAATTCTCACTGTTCATGTGTGTATGTTTGTTTGTTGAAAAATACCTTGAACAAAAAAAACAGCTGATCTGATATTCTCTCATTCATTTATTCAGCTCTTTCGCGTTCGAAAATCGAATATATTGTGTTAACAAAGACGCCCAATTTTTTTTAAGAAAAGAAAAGATACAACTAATCTTTACGCTTGGCCTATTTTCGAAGGTAAACTTGTTTTTTTTCTATTTTGTTTGTTTAGGATTTGATGAATGTTTTCCTTGTTATCCATCCATCCATCCATCCATCGATCGCAATCATTCATCATGATTAAAGCCGATGATTAATCAATTGATCGATTGAAGTTTTTTTTTCGCTTCGAAATTTTGAATTTTCAAAAATAAAATTTCAAAAAATTTTATTCAATAATTCAATACAGTGAAAATCATTTCGAATCTTTCTTTTTTTTCGAATGTCGGATATTATTGAACAATCGGTTTGTAAAATTGATGAACTTCAAATCAAAGAGTAAGTGTATTTTTATGGATATTTTTGATTTTCATTTATTTATCTATTCTTTGTAAATAGGAGAAAAGTTGTACGAATCGAAAATGTAGGAATTGTTTTATATCGTAAAACGGAAACAGAAATCATTGCATTTGGTAATAAATGTTCACATTATGGTGCACCTTTAATCAATGGTATGTATGAATGATGATTGATGATAATGATAATCGTTGATTAACCACTTTTTAGGTGTTATTTATGGTGATTATGCAATATGTCCATGGCATGGTGCTTGTTTTAATATTAATACCGGTGATATTGAAGAATTTCCTGGCTGTAATAATATTCCAACATTTGAGGTAATTTGATGTTTTTGTTTTCTTTAGATTTTTCTCTAAATAAATTTCTATCCCATCCTAAAAAAAACAGATTGAAATCCGTGATGATGATGTTTATTTACGTGCAAAAAAAGAACAATTTATTATTTCATTACCGAAAATACCTATTGGTCGTGAATTATCCAATGAACAGACAATAATTATTATTGGTGGTGGTCCAGCCGGTTTTCAATGTATGGATACATTACGTAATGATTTACGTTTTGATGGTCGTATCGTTCTTGTATCGCAAGAAGATGCTGTACCATATGATCGTACTAAATTGAGTAAGGTAAAATGTTTTATCTGTTTGTTTCGTCTATTGTAATTTTTCAACAACAAAACTTTTTTTTTAAAAATTAATCAAGAATCTTGCCTGTAAATTGGAAAATATTGTATTACGTAATGAAGATTATTATCAAAAAGCACAGATTGAATTAAAATTAAAAACAAAATGTGAAAATCTTGATACCGAACTACAAATGGCCTATCTATTAAATGATAATGATGACACTATTGCCTTACATTATGATAAAATTTTCATTGCAACTGGATCCAGACCACGAAAATATCCATCACAAGTGTTTGAGAATAATAAAAATCTTGAAAATGTTTTCTATCTACGTACCTATCATGATGCAAACAATATTAATGACCAAATAGAAGATAAAAATGTTATACTCATTGGATCATCGTTTATTGGTAAAAAGAGAATTTGAAATTTGAGATTTTTTTTTCTAATTTGTTTGTTGTTTTATTCGTAGTTATTGAAATTGCCTGTTCGATTATCAAATCGGCCAAAACAATAACAATCCTTAGCCGTACGGATGTTCCATATGCACGTACATTAGGCAGACAAATTGGTCAGGCAATCAAAGAACTTTTGATATCAAAAAATATACGATTCTGTTGTACAGGTACATCAGAATTGGAATTTGAATTGGATTCAGAATCAAAACGAATAATTCGTATTAAATCCGAAGGATTACCGGAATCACTTGATTGTGATGTTTGTGTTATTGGTATTGGTAGTATACCGAATACAGATTTCTTAAAAGATTCGCCGGATATTCAACTATCGGATAATCATTGTATTATTGTGGATGAAAAATTTCAAACATCCGTATCGAATGTTTATGCTGGTGGTGATGTTTGTATGTATCCGAATCGTATATTCGATAATGAAATGATGAATATTGCACATTGGCAAACAGCACAATCACATGGTCGTCAAGCATCATTAGCAATGATGAATCAATTACCAATGGATAATGATAATTCTGGTTTTCGTTCGGTTACATTTTTCTGGTCATCTGTATTCGGTAAAGGTATACGATTTGCCGGTATTATTGATGATCCAGATAATTGTTATATTGATGGTGATCTTAATGATTTACATTTTGCTGCATATTATTTTCGTAATGATCGTGTTATTGGTGTTGCTACAATTGCACGTGATCCATTAGCATCTGCATTCGGTGCTTTATTACGAGATAATAAAATAATCACCAAACAAGATATCGAGTAAGTTTCCATTTATTTTGTCGTCTTTTTTTCGTTAATTCAATCATTTTTTTCTTTTTTTCTGTTGACTTTAGATCCGATCCAATGGCTTGGTTTGAAAATAATTTCTCCTAATATTATCATTATTATGCAATATTTGACGATAAAACAAAACTTAAACTTAATATAAAAATTAAATTATTTTGATTTTACAAAAATTTTTTAATAACAAAAATTATTAAATAACACAGTTGACTATCTATTTATTGAAAAAAGATTCAATTTTCTTCTTCAAATGAACGAGATGAATTTAATTTTTCCAAATAATCTGCTGAATATGATTGTTTTAATGGTTGTTCAATAGTCATACGAGAAAAATCATCCCAATACGGTGGCCGTTCCATATTTTTTGATTCTAAATATTGACATTCTTGTGTTTCATTTACATATGGTTTACTTAGATATTTCATCACTTCTTCTTCATAGGCTAATTGTTGAACGAGACCAATTTTTTTACCCATTGTTACCGGTGGTACAAAACGTTTTCGTCTAAACGAAATTTAATTAATTGAAATCATTAGAATTCGAATCAAGACAAAACAAAAATCAATTGATTCGAACTCACCCGATAAGTACATTTCCTTTATGTTTCGGTATCGGACCAATAAATTCACGTCGAAATGATTGCAGAATTAATGTAAATCTCATTGTTTTTGGATTTCAAATTGAAAATATGAAAATTTCAAATTATTTTACATTCAGCAGATGTGAATATTTTTTTTGTTTCTCTTCGCAAAGTGATGAACGAAATAATCGATACCGCTATTTAAAAAAACAGGCGTGTTATTGTTATTATCATTCGAATTCTGAATTATTCTTTTGGAAATGTTTTTGTTTTGTTTTGAAAAATGATTGAATTTCCCGATAATATTTGGAATCCAATCATTTATTCAACTATAACTGTTTCTACATTATATTCTGGTTTTCTCTGTATACGGTATGTTGATTGATTTTAGTTTTATTCAATCCTTTTCAATTAATTTCTTAAAGGCCATGGATCAAGATCAATGTCGAATGTTGGTTCTGTATGTCAAAACATCGCATAAGATATCTGGATCGTAATTCATGGTATTGTCCATGTTGTCAACAATATAATGGATTCAATGTTGATGGTTCATATAATCGTCATATGAACGAACATTATTATCAATCGAATTCGAATTATTTCTGTCAAAATAATTCAATTATTAATAATCAATTCCGATATGAACATTATCGTCTTTGTGATGATTGTAATGAACGTGAAGCGATTAAAATTCGTATGATTGCTCAATTTGTACCTGTGGATGAACAACGATTCGATGAAGAATTATTTCAATTTCGAAAAAATCTTGAACAAATGTATCCAATTTGTGAAAATTGTAATCAACTTGTTCGAAAATTGATTAATGATATTGATGATTCGTGTCCTAAACCAAAATCACCAAATCGAATATCAAACTCAGCAGCAACAACAACGACATCTTTATTGCATAAAAATCAACCTGGGAAACTTTTAAAAATTTTTGCCTATTCTTTACTTAATCTTTCAACAATTCTAATGCTATTCATATTATTCTGTCTAAATGTTCATGAAGAACCTGTTTCAAGTTTTGCTAAAGAATTTCTACCAAATCCACTAAGTCAAGTAATCAATTATACTAATCATTATCATTATATGATTTGTTTAGGATTTTTACTTTATTTTCCATTATTACAAATTGAATCAAATCATATGGTTATTATTGATATTTTGCAAATTTGTTTTTGGCTATTATTGATCACTAATCATCATCATTATTATCATCTATTTTTTCTTGATAAATTCGATATAATTCGTTTACAACGTTTTATAATACCATTATTAATTGTTACCTATTTGATAAAGTATTTCTACGCAATAATATATGATTATATTTGGATCGCTGCCAATCACAATCATAATCATCCACTTAATGATACTGCTAATAGGAAATATTCAAAATCGATAAATGATGAAAAATTTATTCGCAATCAAATCAAAGATCTATCCATATCAACCACTAATGAATTTGATTTGTTTAGTTTAGGAAATAATAATATTAATAATATTCAATCACCATTCACAAGAATTTCATCCAAATCCTCAAAATTTACCAAATATTCATTGTTTACAAATGCTAATTTTATGTCCACGAATACAACAATGAATAATGATGATAATTTTTTCAAATCAAATATCACTACCGCTACAACAACAACAACAGCAACAACAATGATGAATAGTCCACGAATACTTAATTATTATATTCGATATGAAATTGATCGATCCAATAATAATGATAATAATTGTTGTAAGCATCACGATCAACAACAACATTCAATCAATAAACATTCAACAAATAGCCTTTGTTTACATTTAACAACGACATTTACATTAATATTAACATTGACTATTTTTATGTTAATGATTGTTATATTATCATTACCGGCTACAATCAAAATTAATTATGAAATTCATGATGATAATCATTTAAGCTTGAATATTTTCTATCCAAATTATACTGTTAATTGAAATAGTTTTTTTTGTTTGTTTTTTTGAATTACATGAATAAATTTAATTTAATTACTCAATTTTTCATTATTGGTTGATTTCTTTGGTAAAAAAAATTGTCTAACTAATGTGTTTATTTGTAAAAAATAAAAAAAAATTATAAAAAGCTTACGACACCGAGTGTTCCCAAGTGGTCACCCTCCCAAGTACTGACTCGGCTCGACGTTGCTTAACTTCGGTGATCAGACGAGAACCGGTGTTCTCAACGTGATATGGTCGTAAGCTGAAAGATACAGTGAACTATGTTGTATTTGAAGCAAAAGAATTTTTCGGATTTAATCATCCAATTTTTTTATTTCGATCTTCAATTGATATCGGTGCAAAACCCAAAATAATACGAAAATTTTGATAATAATTTGAATGACGAAAAAATTTATCAGTACCATGTAAACGATCGAATAGGCCAATTAGACCATAATTACCAATAAATAAATTATGATGATAATCATGAAATAATGGTGGTCCTAAAATATTGACAATATAATACCAACCAGAATGATTAGACATACCGACAATCAATGCAAACAGGATCCAAAACCAAGTAAATAATGGATGTGAACATAATAGCCAAGGTCCAGCAAGAATTGGCAAAGCATTAACAAAGATGTTTTCCAACGGATGAATATCAAAAAAAGACAACGAAATAGGTGCCTGCCAATCATGATGAAGTTTATGTATTTTTTTATAAAAATATGGATGATGTAATGCACGATGTATATAATAGAAACCGGCTTCAACAACAAAAATCGATACAATAAATTCATATATAAATCGACTAAATGTTGGTATATGATTACTTTTGGCCACATGTAATAATGGAATATAATTAATAAATATAGTGATCGAAAAACAGAAAATAATATTAATATTGGCAATAAAAATTAATCGTAGGAAACGTTTCAATTCGAATGATTGACCAAGATTTTTCGGTTGAATTTTAAAATGATAAAGAAATGACCATTTCAATGCAATCAAATCGACAAATAAATAAATAAAACCAACGATCCAATAAACAAGAAAAATGCATACAAATGTTAGATATAAATCACGTTTTAATGGATCAGAATTGAAATTTGTTTGAAACCAATCGTGATAGGCAATTTCGATTGATTTTCGATATGGTTCAAAAAATCTATTGTTGTTTACGGGGATAAACAAAAGAAAAATGAAAAAAAATTTCAAATCAAACAAAAATAAAATTTGAGAAAAATAAACTTACAAATCAATTTGATCGATTGTTTGTTGAATCATTATTGTCGATGTCGAATGATTTCAAATTCGCTGTCTTGTCCGTTGATTAAATATGATTTAGAGCAAGAAAAAAAAGTGTCCAAAATCACTACCACAGGTATAGGTAGGTAATTTCGATAGAAATCGCTTGAAAATTTTGTCAAAAAAAAGAAATCGCGAAAGAAATTAATTTTCATTATCAGTCATTTTTTTTGGATGTCTGAATTTGATAACGTCGATTGATGGATTCTTGCCATTCCTGAATATTTTTTTTCTTTTCTTTTCTTTTTTTTTGTTGTTGTTTTTTTCATCGTTTAAATTTAACAGCCAATAATCATTATCATAATCATTGCAAATGTATGCACCGTCCTTGATTTTGAAAAAATGGATTTTTCTTTTTGTTTTGTTTTTTATTTCGCTCCCTTCTTTTTCTTGCCAAAAAACAAACGTGAATCTATAATCAATAAATAACAATAATAATTAGTAAATTGGTGATTAGAATTTGCTTGAAAGCAGCTTGGTTTTTTTTCATTCTTTTTTCCAATTAATTTGGCAACCCTGAATATGAATGAACGAAAAAAAATGTGAAAGAAATTCAAATGAGATGTTTTCATTGCAAAAATTGAATAAACATTTTGATGAATTATTTCATCATAATTTCAAGATTTTTTTATCTTTTCTCAATTTCAAGAAAAAGATTGAAAAACAAGATAAAATTTTTGTTGTTGTTTTTTATTTTTAAATTTGAAAATTGAAAAAAAATATATTCTAATTAAAAATGTTTGGGAATTGTACTTGATTGAATCACCAAGTGACTATCATCACATCAGAATAATTTTTGTATTTTTGTTTTGTTTTTTTTTCAAGAAAAAGTTTTCAAAAAGATAAGCTGGTTCTGTCTCGGTTGTTAGATGGCGATACCGGTTTTGTTTGTTTGTTTTTTGGTAATTAAAAATTTTTTTTTCAAACAAAATTATCATTGGATGATCGAGCAACAACAGTCCATAATTGTTGTTCAATTTCAATATCATTCATTTCATCATCATCATCATCATTAGCATCACCATTTTTAACTTGATTAACATCATTATGATGATGATTTAAACCATTCATCCTTCTTGGTATAATACGTGTAATACGTTTTTTTAAAATTAATTTTGTTAAAATTTTTAAAATTTCTTTACGTAATTCTTCGGATACGGAATTATCGATAAAATGTTCATGCCATTTAAGTGGTATTTTTACATAGGCTAAAATGAAAAAAAATTCTTCAATGGTTTTGTAATTTATAAAAAATAAAAACATCACTTACATTCACGATAATATTTTTCCGGATAAATACATTTTGGTTGCCAATAATGTAACCAAATATCATTTAAATGAGCATCATTTTTCAAGCCAAAAATCCATTCACTAATAAATTGTTTTTCACTAGGGTAATGAAGATATTTTTCCAATAATTTACATTCATGTTGATCATTTTGATCAACAACTGATAAAATATCACTAAATAGAATATTAGCAACAAGTATACCGGTTTTAGGTTTTAATATTTTCCGTAATGAATCACCCAATATGGAAGGATTAAAAATCCATTGTAATGCATAATTAGAAAATATTAAATCCACTTGTTTGGTTTGTAATAATTCTCGTAATTCGGTATTCCATTTATCAAACGGTAAGCCTAAATCTTGTACAAAAAATTGAAAACGATCATTTTTTTTGGAAAAATTTTTCTTTGCATGTTCAATCATTTCGGGTACAACATCCAAACCGATTATCGTTGATTGTGGAAATGATTCGGCTAATAAACATGATGAATTTCCAGGGCCACATCCTAGATCAACAATTCTTAATGGTCTAAAATAGAGGTTTTCCAACAGGTAAATTTTAGTTTTTGAAAAAAACCAAGGTAACTTACTGATTAATATCGAATATTTGTTTCTTTATAAGATGTATCAATTTTAATGCCGGTCCCATTGAATCAAATGATGTTGTCGAATATTTGGATGGATCAAATTCCATAGCTTATGTTTTATGTTTTGTTTTGTTGTTTGTTTGTATTGGCTTTCTAAATCAAAATAAATTTATTCAAATGAAAACATTTCATCAAATGACTATTGCATTTTATTTCAAAATGAATGCGTATGGAAAAACATTGATTATCAAATCAAAATGTGTCATTTGTTTTTTCTCGGTAGTTAATAGTGAAATAGACAAAGTAAACAATCATCATAATCATCACAATCATTAAATTAATCAATCGAATCATCTTTTGAACCTAAAAATCAAAATTTCACATTATAAATCCACCAAAACATCATATACAACATGCACACACACACACACACAGTAGCCATGTTTTGATTAGATTCAACAACCGAAAATCATTGTATAATTTGGATTTTTTATCAGGAGAATGGGAAAAAAACCTTGAAAAAAAACATTCAAATTTCTTATCAAAATATGCAAAAAAATATATATCTAGAACATTTCCCTTTTGATTTTATTACACGTGCACGTGATAAATGTATGGTATAGTTGCTTCTTAAATTGCAGCATTCAAATCACAAGATTATTATTGTTTTTTTCCTACGTTAACCCAGATTAAATCAAATCAAATCCAGGGAAGAAAAATGAAAAATGATGGAATTTTTACAATTGAAATATGCACTGTACTTTTTTTGTTTTGTTTTGTTTTGTATTTAACGTTCTAAACATTTTCCGATTGAAAATAAAACATCTTCAAACGATAAACAGTGGATGAGGGAAAATCTTCAATGAAACTAAACTAAAATAAATAAATAAATAAAAAAGAACAAAGAATTAAGGAAAAATCTTGTGAATAAATAATTTTGATTGATCGATCGATCGATCAATTGTCCTAAACATTTTTATTCAAAACAAAACAAAACAAAACAAAAAACCCTCATCCTCTCTTCCGCCCCCATAATCTACATAAGTGTTAAGTGTTCACACCCGTGAATTATATTTTCGATACCCTTCTTATCGATAGATCAATCGAATGGATCAATCAATCAATCATTCAATTTCCTAATGATACTTGACCTTACGTCACTTTTT